CACCAGTCTTAAAGTTGCCAAGTTTGGAGACCTCTGCATTAGTCCACATTGGGTTTGGAGAGGTCATACAGATACTCCTTGCATGCATTCCTTTAGCAACCACACAAAGTTACAATGGCACTAAAATAATTGACTTATGTCTGTTTTTCACACTTACGGCCGTTGCAACATTCCCAGAGTAAAAAAGCTTGGCAACTGGCTTGTATTTGTGACCGTTGCAGTATCTTGTGCAGTCTTGTGTTCACCTTCTGTGAACTTCTGACAAGCAAAGTCAATGGGGAAGTCGGACTCAACCGTGTTACTAACTTAACAACTGCAGTGGTTCACTTAACAACGATGGCAGGAAAAGGCGTAAAATGGGACACAACTTCCTTAACAATTCCCTTAACAACTTGCTTAGCAACTAAAATGTTGAGCTCGTTTGTGGCAGTTAAGGACTGCCTGTTAACTCCATATGTGTTCCAACTAAGGAGCTCATAATTGGTTCCATCATTACAGTCTGTTAGAAAATTTTGTGCATCCAGAAGTTGTGGGTGTTCCAACACTGGAAGTTTTTAAGAGGAGACTGGACAACCACTTGTCTGAAATAGTATATTTCAGATATATTGCCTGAGTAGAAGATTGGACTAGAACTATGATGGCGAACCTATGGCACGCAGAGCCATTTGTGATGGCACACGAGCCGCTAGAAAACTTACCTCACTGGGCATGCGCGTGCCTCACAGCTGATTTTTGGCCTTTTTGAGGCCTTTTTCGGCCTCCCAGAGGCTTGAGGAAAGCCTTTTCAGGCCGAAAAATAAGCCCGTTTCGTCACTTGCTGTATTTCCAGAAATACTGGAAGTGACAAAACGGGCCCATTTTCCCCTTCCAACTCTTTTATTCTGTTAAAATAAAGACATTGAAGAAGGCAACATCCTCCTGTGTCCATTCTTCTTTGAAAGCAGAGGTCTCCAAACTTGGCAACTTTAAGACTTGTGGACTTCAACTCCCAGAAGTTTGGGGACCCCTTCTTTAAGGGCTATTTTTTTATGGTCAGCCTAATACCAGCCTTGTCAAAGCACAAATTAAACATGTGTTTCTTGGAGTAGCAGTTTCTGCATTTACAGCTGCGGTAGCTGAACATTATCAAACTGAACTCTAACATATGTGAAGGACAAATTTTGGAGAATCAAATTTCTAAACATGATAGAAAGAAATAGAAATTCAGAGCATGTTTGGTCTAGTGGTTAAGCCACCCAGCTAGAAAGCAAGGGACCTTGAGTTCAAGTCCTGCCTTAGCTGTGAAAGCCAGCTGGGTGACCTTGGGCCAGTCCCTCTTCTGTCCATCCATCCTACCTCTCAGGGTTGTTATTGGGTGGATAAATAGAAGATGTTAGGATATGTTTGCAGCCTTATTTGCAAAAAAACGATGAAGGTGGGAAACAAACTAACATGTCCCAAAGGTACTTCCCCCCCCCCCCCAAGAGGCAACTGGACTATTTGGTTTTTTTCTTTGAAGCCTTTTTGCTTCTCATCCAAGAAGCTTCTTCAACTCTAACTGGATAGTGGGGAATGGAAGGATTTATACTCTTTGCAGGCAGCTGGTCATTTGCATCCTTTTAGCAGGTCATTAAGCAGAAAAGGCAGAGAGAAGAAAACCAGGAACTGTTTTCTATTACCCCAGAATTCAGAACATGGAGTATTGATCTCGAGTGATTGGAAAGTGGTACCTCCCACTAACTTCAGATCCTTGTTGAATGTTACAAAAATGTTCTAGTAGAAAAAAGAACCTAGAAGACGGGATGGTTCATTTCAGGAGAAGTTAGATTTTGGGGGAATTCTTTTCGTTGGGATTCCACACCACTTTCATTAGGATCCCGGCTGTCCTCCTCTATGAATCCTGGGATTATTTGATTTAACAAATTAAGATAGAAGAATACACCAAGATGACTCATAAAGCTGGACAAGATGATTTTGCTCAAGCAAAACACTCCAGTCCGCTCCATCTTTTAAAATAAGGTATATTCCTTTTCAGTCAATGCACGCATGGAGGGATGCTGCACATTACGAGATGCTCGGTTGATATACAGGTAGTCCTCATCTTACAACAGTTCATTTAGTGACTGTTCAAAGTTAGGACATCTCTGAAAAAAGCGACTTACGACCATTTTTCACAGTTACAACCTTTGCAGCATTCCCAATGGTTCATGTGATCAACATCCAGATTCTTGACAACTGATTCATATTTATGACCGTTGCCGTGTTCCAAGGCCACATGATCCCCTTTTGCAACCTTCTGACAAGCAAAATCCATGGGGAAACCAGATTCACTTAACATCCGGGTTACTAACATCAACTGCAACTATTCACTTAACAGCCGAGGCAAGAAAGGTTGTAAAACGGGGTAAAAATAACAAATGTCTCACTTAACCGCAGAACTCTTGGGCTCCGTTGTGGTTGTAAGTTGAGGACCACCTGCATACCGGGCAACGAAACCCTCCTATTCTCAGTTTTTTGTTTGTTTGTTTCTGCCTTTATTGCTTCCCCCAAGGCCGCAGAACGTTCCCCAGAAGCTACGCCCCTCCCGAGAACCTGTTTCAGCTTCTGCCTTCCAGCCGAACCAAGAGCTACAATGGAGACAGTAAGCTGATCACCATGCGGTACGAGGAACGGGGCAACAACAAGCGCTGGCACAATTGTGACAAGATCTTTGAAGACTTCAGTTCTCCTTCTCCCAAGGCCAGGAGCAGTAAGTTGCTTCAGAGTGGGGGCCTCTGCTGGGTTATGGGGGACATAGCGGGGAATTCGTTGGCCGTGTTCAACGCTATCTAGGAACCCTCGGGGGCTTCGCTCCTGAGAAGGAACGTCAAAGTTGGCTGATAACATTGACGTTGTGTGCGATGGATGACCTTACAAGATGCTGGCTGCGTTGAGCGGGAGAGGGAAAAACACCCTTGAATGGTGGGGAAGCCATCCCTTGTTTGCCGTTTTCAGAGATAAGGGGACGGGTCTCAAGGGCAGGAAGCGAGCAGGTCTACCCCTTGCTATCAAAACAGGAATTTCCTCAAGGTTTTTTGAGTCAAAATAGAAAATTTTGACTCAAAAAGCCTTGAGGGAATTCCCAATTCATATGTCACTTGGACCTCTTCCATGGTGCAAAGTTAAAACAAAAAACTGAATGGCTCACAGCTTCACCATCTTCTCGATTTCCATTGCAAGACTCCCCGGGAAATTAGCCAGCTCTGCCTCCGTGTTCCTCCATGTTTTCTATAGAACTACGGTGCCCATAGAAGAGTAGCTCAGGGTTGAACTTATTTACTTTACATTGCATTGCATTGCATTGCATTGCATTGCATTGCATTGCATTGCATTGCATTTATTTAGTCAGTCAGTCAGTCAAGCATGCATTTGATAATACTGTATATAAAAGCATAAACTGTCAGGATTCTGGCAGTTACTCCAATTAAATCATGAGCCTCGAGCCACACTCCCAAAACTTCAAAAGATTTATTAGAAGTTAACATGCCAGCATTAGCCTGGGCGTAGCTGACTCTGAGATACGTAATTAACTGTCACCCTTGATCCTGCTTTACCCCTACCCCCACCTCTCTAGGTGTATCATCCAACGAAACAAGTCCATAGCCAAGAGTCATCAATCATGCTCTCCAGTTATTTTTTTGCGCAGCAGAAGTTTCATTCGTCTAATCAGCCTTAGAAGAAAATATGAATAGAATGTACTTTCGATGCCACACTGTTGCCTGTTCTTTGAAACTCCCCCCCCCCTTTCTTTCTGTGGACAACTATAAAACGTGTATACAAATTGTTTTATGAGTTGACCTAAGCATGTTTATTAATACATGAAATAGATAAGAATAAATGGGGACAGTAGGACAGGGACGGTAGGCACACCGGTGTGCTTATGCACGCCCCGTTTAAGGACCTCTTAGGAATGGAGTGAGGTCCATGGTTGACAGTTTAAAGTTTTGGGGGTTTGAAGATGTAACCACAGAGTCAGGTAGTGAGTTCCAGGCATCGGGGACTTGTGGGGTCTTCAGTGCTCTCTCAGCTTCTCCGAGTGACTCACAAATTCTGTGAAAAATTCTGTGAAAAAGAAACCAAGCTAATTGTAGATTGATGGGGGGGCATCCAAGCTTCAAATGCCAGCCTGTATTTTGGGAGTCATAACGATTACACAGGCTAAGAACCGGAATACTAGGTGGCATTCAGATTTTGATAAAACTACTACAGGCTATCCTTGACTTACAACTCATTTAGTGACCGTTCAAAGTTACAACGGCACTCAGAAGGTGACTTATGACCGTTTTTCACATGACCTTTGCAGGATCCCCGGAGTCACGTGATCAAAATTCAGACCCCCCTTGGCAACTGGTTCACATTTATGACCATTGCTGTGTCCCGGGATCCCCTTTTGCAACCTTCTGACAATCAGCGGGGGAAGCCAGATTCACTTAACAACCAGATTACTGATGTATCAACTGCAGTGGTCCACTTAACAACTGTGGCAAGAAAGGTAATCAGATGGGGCAAAAGCTCATCTAACGACTGTCCCGCAGACGTTTTGGGCTCAGTCGTGGCTGTAAGTCGAGGACTGCCTTTAGATTCTGCATAGGAAAAAAAGCATAGGTTTTTCTCAGCATTGTGCGTGATGCGTGCATCATTGTGGACGTTGGAGGAGTTGGAGTTGCAGAGTGGTTGTTGTTGACCTGATCTTCCTGTTTTCCGCCTCCTTTTAGCCCTGCAGGCCCCTGTGAATTGGAGGCTGGGGAAGCTGTTGGGCCGAGGAGCTTTCGGAGAAGTCTACCTGTGCTATGATGTGGACAGTGGACGAGAGCTCTCCGTGAAGCAGGTGCCTTTTGACCCAGACAGCCAAGAGACCAGCAAGGTGAGTGTTTGGTCAGATAGAATGGAACAAAACAGAGAACGTTCTTCGTTGGCCAAGTGCAGCAAGGGGAATTTGTCTCATTGGACATGTGAACAGCAAGTGATAAATCATGATCATAATCACAAAATACAGTCACAATAAATCGTAAGATACAACACTCCGGGATAGATTAAGACATCTTTGTTTTTCTCTCTCCCTATTCATCTGTCTGTCTGTCTATCTATCTACCTATGTATCTATCTATTTACCTATGTATCTGTGTGTTTATCTATCTCCCTATGTATCTGTGTATCTATATCTATCTATCTATCTATCTATCTATCTATCTATCTATCTATCTATCTATCTATCTATCTAATCTTTCATCTATCTTTCTGTGTCTATCTGTATCTCTCATCTATCCAGCTATCTATTTGTCTCTTCTATCCATCTATATTTATGCCTCGTCTCTCTATATCTATCTATCCATCCATCTTATCTATTAATCATCTATCCATCTATATTTCTGTCTATCTCTATCTCTCTTTCTATTTATATCTATCTCTATCATCTATCATCTATGTTTCTGTGTCTATCTATCTCTGTCATCTATCCTCTATTTCAGTCTCTTTATCTATCTATCTATCTATCTATCTATCTATCTATCTATCTATCTAT